AGGCTTGTTTAATAGTCAGCTTGTCTTTCTCACAAAATTGATCTAGAAACAAGAACGTGACAGAAGCTTCTAAGCTGGGCTCTATGTCATTACCGAGTGTACAAAAAAACCATCCACCCCATTTTCATACCTCTTCATGAATATATTAGTGTGTAACAATTATTCACGTGCATACGACCAAGGAACAGCGATTTTAAACCCTGACATCACCGGTAAAGAGGTCTCCACGACCAAAAGGCTTGATTAAAACTGGCATGTTTTGAATTGTTGAGCCTACACAGGATTGATAAAAAAAAAACCTTTATTCGGCTGTCTTAACGTCTTCGTCTTTATCAGAGCTAGTGATCCGAGTCGTCGAGCCACAGCTGTTGTTCTTCTCGATGTGGTGCCTTCGTAATCGGACCGAGATTGATCTTCTCGTCAGTGGAACACCGCACGAATAAGGCATGCTCACACGACACCGCTCTTTTATACAGAGCGGTCGTTTCACCTAACTATCCGTTGATAATAGGTTGTATTTCAACTGGTAATCCACCTTGCAACCGTCGGTATCATATTAGCTAGCACATAGCTATTTGCTACATAAAACTAGTATATCGTAACAACAGTGATGTATTTCGTATAAAATGCTGAGGTATTTGCAAAACTCCCGACCGCAGGTGTATGCAGTGGAGAACGAACACGCGCTGTTGTCCTTACCGGGGAGCAGCGCACTTCACCACTACACCATCCGGGTCCTTCGTCTTGCCTGTCTCTCAGTTTGTTCCCCACTGCATACACCTGCGGTCCGGAGTTTTGCAAATATCTCAGCATTTCATACGAGTTATATTTCGCAACATACCCTGCCATTAAGAAGAAAAAGGCAGTAAATAAAAGGGTTAAGATAATGATGTATTTTGCAAACATTCGCAAAACTCCGGATCGCAAGTGTTTGCGATAGGGATTGAACTATCTACTAATTGAACCATCTACTACTGTCTACTACTATCCACTACTATTCCTATCTCTTTCTACTTCTGTTTAGCAAACACGAAGTGCTATTTTATTTCTTTATTTACGTACAAGCTGACGTTTCGGCGGATTAAGCCATCCTCAGAGCCTGGAAAGGTCAAGTTGGCACTTCCCGATGTGTTCACCACCACAACATGCGGGTACTTCATTTCGCCTTTTTCTGAGCTAGTTTTCTATCTAGCAGTGCCATCAGCAGCCACCCGTCAATAGGATTGATCTGGGGAGCACAACTCGGCATTGAACCGAGTTAAGCTGAAGTTGTAGTCGAAATGACGGTGTTAACTTTCCTACCTACTGCCTACTACTATTTTTTCACAAAAAGATTATGTGGAATGCAACCACAGTGTCGCTGAGATACCTGCAAAACTCCGGACCACAGGTGTCCGCAGTGGCGATCGAACCCGATATTACGCTTTTCGAGGAATAGTGTACTAGAATATTGTCTATATCTCGGTAATAAACACCTGTCCTAAATAAACAGCATACTCCTAGAATGGACTAATATTTGGTTTCACCTAGTACACATTTAGAAATCGTTATCAAAAGTTGCCAACCAGATAATAATCTGATATGCATAGCCTGTTCAGTATCAATGCCACTATATAAGCCACCCTCATTTCACCGCAGCATTCAAGCAAATGACCGATAACGAAGACATCGAACGAGGAGATGTAAGTTTCCGTGCTGCGTCTTAACCATGCTTTCGTTTGCGACTTTCTTCCGTTCAGAGTGTCGTGCCTGAGCTGACCGCGGACGAAATGGCTGATTTGGCGAAAAAGAGGAAGGAGGAGAAGAGCGACACACTAAAGTGTCCACCTGTACCAGAATTCCCTCTGGCTGACAGAGTGAAGGAGTTGGGACTCGATGGTATTTGCTCTTAATTATATTTTCATGGGAAAGGTTAAATTTACTGAAGTAAGCTGTGTATCGATGGGTATCTAAGCAGAAAAGGCGAGTTCGATATGGAAAGATGATTGGCTTTGTAGAGAACAGTCGCCAGTAAGCATGATGAAACAATTTTCATTATATGAGTCGAATTAATTACTTTAGACGATTGACCCTGACATCCGCTAAAAAGTTTTCTGTACTGCATTCGGTCAATACATGATACAACACGGTCCGGTTAAGTCCAGTGGGTACTGAAGCGCAACCGACAACATATCTCGACTCCATAAATTAATGGCTAAAGTGGTTGAACCGAACAAAGTTAGCATCTGTGGCTTACCTCTATCACGATGTTTAGACATAACTTGAGCATCAAGCGCTATGCTTTCCCCATCCATATGCTTTGGAAAGCCACCAATTCAGTGTAACAATGATAACTTGTGGAAAAAATAATCAAAACCTAGTCTTGACAAGAGCAGTATGCTAAGGAATTCTTCGTCCTGTCCGCAAACACCATTGCCAAGTGCTCTCGCATACAGCAGAAAGTTTAAATTGGAAAAGCTTGTGACTCATCAACTTATCAGACAGGCTTTTTAAGTCAGATCACCATTTAAACGTACGCGCAATAAATCTGATCTTCGCATAACTGTCCTGTGTCCAGTGACCTGTGTGTGTACCGGTGTGATCTATGTGTATATAACTGTCGATAGTTTTCCGATAACAACAGCTCTTGAGAACATGAGGATAAGTTGTAAAAGCCCTGGATAATTACCTTATTTCAACAAGGCCTTCCTCAATCCGATAAACAATAAGTGCACATTGATAGACATTGCCATGCCCAATTCAAAATGCTCAACCGCGTCTATGAGGTTTAGAGCTAAGTGGTTCTGTCTTCATGAATTATTGGGCCTTCGCACAATATCCAACTGCCTCATTAAATCGTTATTGCTGCTACTGAGATTATCTGCTTAGTACATATGGGTGTCTGCGAAGATCTGATGGTTGACCCATTGTGGTTCCCTGGAATCCCAAGATCAGCATGGCCAAAGTCTGCTTCAGGTCGTGATCGCCACAGACAGTCGCAGCCCTTGTGAATCAGAGGGAGATTTGCCACCATGCGACTAGTTTGATACTAATACTGTGGTGGATCCTGGTATTGGTTTACTCCTAACTGGGCTTCATGATGAAAAGACCAGACTTCTTCTCAGCTTGGAGGCCCTGCCGGGAGGATGAATTCCCTAGCTGTACATCACAGCCCTCACCTAGGAGCACCTCCCAGCCACTATGAGGAGGTAAACCGTTGGGAGGCATTCCAAATAAATGATATTGTCCAATACAACTATTGCAATGAGGAACATCTTTGTTTCCTTTACCAAGTTAAATCCCAGGTTCCGAAGATTTCAAATCATTTTCCCCGATGGTTTCGTTATGGACCACCTTCGCCTGTCAACTGGTTGCTAAAGTGCTCGAAAAAGTTGGTTTTTACTAGGCCCACCAAACACCGCTGGGTGAGGTTTCTCAGTCTTTTCAGTCTTCTTAGTATTGGCTGCTCAATGTGTTATAGGGCCTTATAGGGCCCGCTGTTAAAATCACTTGGTGAAATACCATATAGTTCCACAGCGATCTTCTAAATGGCTGTTTGAAATATTTATAGCGGTATCTTGCTCAAACTTACCGGAGCATGTCAAGCGAAGCAAGTATTTATGACTCTTACACTGCATTAAATGAATGAAAATCTATGGAGCTTTTATAAAAAGATATTAAAAAGAATGTTGAATAGAATCTAATGGTATTATTGGACATTACAGCATGACAGAAATTTCTAAGAAGTGGGAATGCCGAGACGATATCTGCTGAGATTTTATTAGGACGCTGCTACAGTACAACTCATCCAACCTCTCCTGCGTTCATATACGAACTCCCACTACGTTGCTAAGATTAAGTATTCCGGTATTTTTAACAAACTAAACGTCTTGTAGTACAATCAGTGCTAGACGCAGACACGTCACATTTCTCACTGCATTTCCTTGCAGTGACTTTCTCGATGCACTTGTTCAACTAGGGCTAGAGAAGCTGTAATTTGCGATCCCACCTGGTTGCCACTAAACGTGATAATTCCACTCCAGAGTAAATTTAGCTTCAGAATTACCGTGCTAAACGTCAACAGTTGGTGTTTTGGATTAATTTTCTACCGCATGTCACCATGTGATCAAGAACCGCATCGTTTATGTTGCACAAAGAAGTGAGGAACAGAATTTATAACCACCACCTCATTTCGTTTAGTTCACAGCGCTCCCACCTATTGAGCTTTTTGAACTGTCCATTTCAGATAAGATGCTCCGAAAGTACTGCCTTACTTTCGTGTGCTTGTTCCGTAACCTCTAACCGCTACTCACTGCTCCTATCACCGTCACACCTCTCTTGTCCTTGCTCTTTCAACTCTGTGAACTTTGTCTGGCGGTGGTTTAGGGTAACAGTTAGCTCCTTATTAGCAGCAGCTCATACGGTCACGTTTATTAAAGGTTCAAGTCTACCCAAATTAATATGAAAACAAAGAGATGGACATAAAACAAAGAGAAAACGTCGCATTTCATAATGTATGCCTCCCGTAAATGAACAAAAATGGATAAAACCCGAATCATAGCGTCATCAAAGGAAAAGGGTAAAGTGATCACTAATTTGTTTCCGAGACAACAAACACTGTGCTTATAACGTATAACCTCTGCTCATCAAATCGTGAACAACCTGAGCTATTAGGTAATCGCATCGATTGCCTACAATTTCGGTTAGTGTTACAACTTATCAATGAAGATTAGACAACACATTACTTCAATCCAAAGGCCAACATATTGTTGAGTAGTAACGGAAGAAACTAGCAATGCCGTCTACCACGACCATACAAACAATCCAAAATTTCCCGCATTAGAAGCGTCTCCTAATTCCAGTTCTTTTATAACCATTGAATACCCCACTATTCTTTTATTGAACGAGAACGACACATTTCTATCGTATCCCTAAAAAAAGCTCTGGTATTAACAGTGCCGCTTGAAAGCCCAGAATTCTATGAGGATTTGAAAACAAAGCCTTCCACTTACTACAGCGACATGAAAGACTTACCTGACTACGTCGCCAAAAAGTACATTCCGGTAAGCGAACGTACCCAAGACTGATGGCCTTCATCACTATCAAAAGATTGCTCGTTAAGGATATTTCACGACGATACATTGAACTGGAACGTCGTATTAAAGTTCTGGAGTCAACACTGTGGGCACTTCCCCGAGAGGATCGTAGTCTTGAAGAGGACAGGTGGGTGATTATTCACATCATTATCGTACCGTTAATTTTTTACAACTATGCAATTATGCGAGGACTACGATGGAATGTAACCGATTGTCTAGGTTTGAAATACTAACGGAATTGCTGGACAAGGCATGCCAAGGATTTGAGATCTGGGACGAGCACGTGGTTCGTCCTCTTGTGATGCTATCCTGTGCCCTTTGTTACAATATCAGTAGAAACTGCTCAGGAACGAAATATCAAGTACGGCCATCGAGTTGTCCTAGAAGCACGTCTTCTACACCTGATCGAGTCTAAGTTCGACATAATTGAGAAAATTTGCTCCGAGTTTGACAAACTAAAAGGAGATCAGCACGGAGTGAACAATGAGCGAGAGGTACGCAACAGAAACTACAAATACAGACACACAATTCGGATTTAGCGCAACTCGCCAACGGTCCACTGCGCTTCCTTTCCTTCATGACTTCGTGAATTGGAAAATTTGGAAAGTTTTTGCTAGTGACCAGAAAGGTGACGACTAACCAAGCAGTTCAATGGATAACACAGATTCTAAGGTCGTTTATACTGCAAGCAGCGTGAAAGATGCACGTAAAGTTTGTACCCACGCTTTATCGCAATGCTTCTTAGTAGTAACAAGCAACACGATGCTGAGCTAAATCTCATAACCCATACGACGTGTGAAGGAGGAAAGAGGAGGAAGGGAGGAGGAGGAGGGGGAGAGGGAGGGGAGGCGAGGGGGACAGGAGGGAGGGGAGGGCAAAACGAATTTTACGGCCTATTTTAACGAACTCAACTATATACGCCAAGCAATTACTTCCCAAGAATGTATTTATCAAGTCTTAGCAAATATATTATGCATAAATAGGCACATAATACCCTCAAAGTATAATAAAAAGATAATTCACATACATAAAAAAGCTATATTAGGTAAGAAACTTGCGGATTTGATATCACATAAATAGTTGTAATAAGACGCACAATAGAAATACATACAAAAAGATAACTAAGTTCGAGAATAGCTTCACTTGGAATGAAATGACTCATTATGCTCTTTACACGACTTTTCCTCACTCAGCTGATCCGGAACCTGCAGTATTGTTAATCAATGCTTTACCGCTGTGAATTCACTATAAATTTAGAATGAGATATCAAAAAAGGGTAAGAAAGATAAAGGGATAAAGTTCTCCGCGTTGATCAATCTCTCAGGGATGCGTCATCCATTCGACTTTATGCATAGTTGGCCTTTAAATAACACACAGTGGTGCGCCGATGTATTGAGCCAGTACTGATATCCTCCCAGATAAGCCTGGTACCAATTTGCTGACACCGGAGGGATGGAAGGCTTGGTGAGCCGCAACACCATGGTCGATCCCATGTGTGCACTGCAGGGCACCCACGACCACTGCGCAGCACGCGCCTTACGATATCAAAAAAAAAGAAAAAAATCTACCTCAAAGTTTTTACGCTGTGCAAATACCAATCTTTCTGAAAAAACACTCTATGTTTAAAACACGGCAACTTTTTCAGTGGCAAATTGATCAACTCTATACTTTAGTTCCTTCGTTACGAAATTCGACATTGCGATCTAATGTTCACTGAGATCCACGAAAGTTTCCTCAAATCGTATCTCGAAATGGAATGGTAGGGCATTCATCGATGCTTAATGAAACGACCTCCCGTTTATCACGGTAAAAGTTGCCATACAGCCTTCAGCTGAACGTTTTCATAGCTTTTCATTTCGAAATAAAATTAAAAAAATACCGTGTACTTAACATTTGCGTCATCTCAGCAAGTTTGGATGTTCGCGTTCAATTTCCGCACGGGATAAGTACGACGACTGTGTCCCCTTTCTTGTAACAGACAGCGACGCGACAAGAGCGGCTCTCTCAACTGCATCCTTAATGCTCTGGCCTCCATAAACTACAAAGTAGGCCATAGACCCACAAAAACAATCTCCTGCACCCTGAAATTGTTACCTGATTTATTCAGAGTGGAAGTGATAGCCTATTCGAAAACTAGGTTGAGGATATCCACTTAGAGCGAAAACCATCAGTCCCGCTCACCAAATGACATAAAGAAATTCGTAGAAAAAAACGATCGTATTCTGGTCAAACTACACAATTTCGCATTGGCTCTTAGCAAACTGGAAATGTCCCTCAATAGGGCGCATACTCTTGCCTTCAGTTTTCCTATTGATTTATAATTGCTTTAAATTTCACTGAAAACAGAGAAATAACTCCTCTTTCGCACTAGAACTCTAAGAATAAAACTAAGAGGTAAACATAAGGTGGTCGCATCTTCCTAGCTGATTAAGTATAGCACAGAGTACCAGATTTGGAAGATATCGCTATTGTATGAAAAAGACTGGTTACCCAGGCGAAAGAATGCGGTACTACTTCGCAGCTCTTACTAAGGTCGAAAAAAGAAGTTATGATGAAGGATGGGTGTAGACACAAAAAGATTGGTAAGCAATGAAGTAATGGATCGTATTATGCCATTCTTCTCCTGAAGCACCACACTTCTCTGTGAAACGATGATTAGCTTAACGTGGTGTCGACGGCTGTCACTTTTGGCACTGGGATATGTACAATTTCTGGACCATCCTTCGTCGCAAGTACGCAACCTGAAAAAATGCTAAAATGCTTAAAATGAGCTAGAGGCATATTTCCTAATCCCTCCCATCTATGAAGATTACTCCCAAACTGCCTAACCATTCGGCAACTGTAGCACATGGGGACAGTAACTTATGGAGGACAATGTATAAGTTTCTATCTATTGCCTATTATTTTTTCACTAAAGGGTATTATGCAAAATGCAACCACAATGGTGTTGAAATATTTGCCAAAAGTGAACTCCAAGACGGATTAGAACCCGCGACTACCCTTTTCGAGGACTTACGTGTTAGCCACTGCACCACCACTTTCTCAAAGACATAGACTAACTTTATTTGATTTTGTACAATACGTTTTTAAGGTACTAATACAATAAAACTGGAGCTTTTAATGCAAACATGGTTACAGATTGAAGACATTCAGTGATAGTAAAGTGTCCTGCTGGCGGTTAACAATGATTTTTCGTCCTTTCTGCTCTGAAAAATTCCACCAAGATTGTCATTGTTCATTCCCTTCATTGTCATTAAGGCACCGGACATTATCATTACACTATGGAACTAAAAGCTCATAGGCAAGTGAATGGAAAGCTTTTGTCAACAACAGATTAAACACCTCTCGATCCACCTCCACCGTAATTCCATACGATCCTATATTTGGACACTGGAAATCTGACGAAGAAACTGCATTCTATTTATCAGTGTGACATGGGACACAGTAACGGACCTTTGCTACCTAATGTGACAATGGAATACTGAGGTCCCATGGTAAGCATTTGAGCAGCAGCTTTCTTTGCATCGTCGAGCGTGTGTTGTGGAATGGTTGTGATAAGTTCAGCCTGGAAAGCAGAATTTTCTACTTCTAGCAATAAAGACACAGCACTGCGCTGTTAACTAGGAAGTCAGAAGGATAGAAAATTCTTAGAGCGGATTCCTCACCTCATTTTCGTTCATGCAAACAATATCAGTGAGAGCCATCATTACCTTATCGGGGTTCGACTCTCCTGGAGCAGGATTGAAAAACGTCTTAACTGAAATAAAGAAGCATACAAGGAACAGCGCCTTCTTGCTGCAATCATGAACAAAAAAGAACTTATTTAATGACGGATATAGTATTAAAAAGACTCTTAGTATTAAAAAACGACATAATTTGGATCCGCGTTGAAATTGCTATAAATAGATAGTATCGTTACAATCACAAGGATGCTGAGATAACAGCCAAACTCGGAACCTGACACCAGTCTCAAACCCGCGATTACCGTTTTCGGGGGACTCGCGTGTTACCGACTCTTACCGACTAGGCTCTTGCTTTTCTTAGCTTCGCCTTCACTGTATCTATGCAATCACCCTCCAACAGAATGGTTTGGCTATGGTTATGAACAAACAAATCAGCTATGGACCTAGTAAGGATGAAGTTGCATTCCAGGCATCATGTTTCAACTTTTAGCTACTGCCTAATCGTTCTTGTTGGGAAGGTACGACAGAGTAAAAATACGGCTTGAGAGAGCCAAAGCAAGAGCTTCTGTTGGTGCGGTGGATAGCAAATGAACCTCGGTAAAGGTAATCAGTTCGAAACCTAAGTGGGGTCACGTTTTTTGCTCATATAACATGATGATTACAGTTGTATTTCATATGGCACCCTGCCATGAAGAAAAAATGGGGCGTAGATAGATAATAGTTAAAAGAAAGAGTACCATTGTTGATCAAAGTGAAAAAAACCATTTTAAGCGTATAAGCCCAATGTACGAGCCTCCATGTTTCTTGGCCAACTCGAATATTCGTCTATTCGCCTCACGTGGGATTTCGGCCTGCGTCATCACCAAGGCCGCCTTGTCCAGGGCCGTCTCGTGTCTGTTCGCGCTTTGCTCGTTCAGCTCCATGTTTGCTCCCAGTGTCACCACTATTGCATTTTCTCCTGAAAATTTCCCCATTTATGCATTTGCAAAATCCCAGTTATGGGCTTGATGATGAAAAAATACGTGAAATTTCTAAAACAATGTGCTCAAAACGAACTATACAAAACGAAGGTACCAGAATTCCGTTAAAAATTACGACGACGTAGTGAATCTTTCAAATTCCACGATCTTATATAAAATGATGCAAACTTTAAGGCTTACCCCCGACAATTCGTTTAGGTTAAAAACTGCAGCAGGTTTTCACCACCACTGTTTAAACATAGCTCTAAATGCCTTGCTGAAGTTCTAAGCAATTCGTTGCAAAACACAGTAGCTAACATTCGGGCGCGTTCACCTTCTCCAGAGCTACCTCAGATCGAGTCGAGCATCCGAAGCAATTCCAATCGAGTGCTCGCGGCAATTCGAGTGAGAGTACTTCAAGCGTAACGTTTGGTGTTCCATTCCACTGCATCCGATTCGAAGCGATGACTACGAAGACCCACATCGCAAGACTGAACCGCCGTGGACAGTACTGACTCGAACCATTGCGACTCTGAAGAAAGCTAAGGCGCCGAAATGTTATCCATAGTAAAGATTTGTAACAATTTTACCAGAACTTATCGATTAACCTGTATAGTGACCCTCGCTGCTGAGGCTACATGAAAATTACTATTGAAAAAGCTCCAAATACGTTCAAATTAAGTACTCCCACTGAATGAAGGAAACCTTGTTCATTGACGGTAATAGTGGCAGTGGCGGTGTGACTACTGTCAGACTTCTCGACCTCTGACGTATCCACTCCAGATTTCCGGAGATCGTCAATATTCGACTGACCAAACAGATCGTTGCCAACCTGCAACCGTTTTTTGTTTTGAAACGATCGCCCTTTAATAATAGAAAATCCAATTAGATTCGTCTAGTTAAGAATAAAGGATCAATTACATAGAAAAAGATTAAGACAACAGTACCCATAAAAAACCATATATCACCTGTATCACCTGTAGTCCCGTGATCGCCGAGTGACTGGAGCGGGTACCAGTAAATCTTCCATTTTTCCCTTTCGCGTGCAAAAAAAGCCCAGTGGGTTCCGCTAGCTCCAGGGACTCGCCGAGCATCACATCTTTCTTCTAGGCTCTTCGTGAAGAACTCTGACCATCGGGTCGGTGGTCTTCCTGCAGTACATTTGACATCCTGAGGAACCCAGTCACTAACGGCTCCTGTCCATCGGTTGTCATTCCTACGCATTACGTGTCCGGCCCACCTTATCTTCGACTGTTTGACGTAAAGAGCGGCATCGTTAATGAAGATCGCAGCTTCGGATCCATTTCCTTCCTTGTGTGGAACGGGATACTCCTAGCAACGACCTTTCGACTGCGCGTTCGATAACGCTGACAGACCTTTCACCTTGCTTACGCAGTGACCAGGTTTCTGACGCATACGTTAGGGCATAAAGTACCGCCAGGCGAAATCCGCCGAAACGTCAGCTTATTCGAGAATAAAGAATAACAACACCTCGAGTTTGCTAAACAAAGACACGAAGAATTACTTGATCAATGCCAAGGTTAATAGAAAATCGGTCGTGGGAGTTACTGCAAGATGTACCAACAAGATACTTCCGACTTGTAAAAGTAGCGCTATCGCTGAGACAAAAGATCGTCTTAGCTCGACAGTCAATATACTTTCTCCGCCGCTGTCTAAAACATCGAGTCGTTCCGAACTTGATCAAACGAAGACGACTACACGACGTATGCGTACTACCAGAGGACAGTCACCGAGTATTCGACATCGAATTGCGAATACTACGCACCTGTCTACGAAGCCGACAACACTTGATGTTCGCCAAGTGGAAGAAGTGCGAGACGAAGGAAAACTTTTGTGCTCAATATTTGGAGGACCGCCTCTGGAGGAGAACAGTGGGCAGGCTCTGAGGAAGGCGAAATCCGCCGAAACGTCAGCTTATTCGTGAATAAAGAATAAAAACACCTCGCGTTTGCTCAACAAAAATACGAAGAAAGTACCGTTGAGTCGAAGAGGTGGGCACAGAGTCGGATTTTCTTTGTTCTCTTCACTGCATCCTCGATGCTCTTGAAAGCTTCCCAAGCCGCTCGTTTCCTTCTCTTCAGCTCTGGAGCTAGGTCGTTCATCGTATTGATTTTCCGACCAAGATAGATTTAACTGGAGCATTTGGAGATACTCGTTCCGTTGAGCGTGAATGGAACATGCGGAACCAATCCGTTATTCATGAACATCGTTTCTGTGGGATTTCGTCAAAGACCAATCTTTCCAAAGGCTATATCAAGAGGCGTCAAATAATTTTGGAGAGATGGTGACGCCTTGCCTAATCGTTCTTTTGACATTTTTTTCAACGTTAATATCGTTGTAGAATTGTGATATCTTGGCTGTAAAATTTTTGTACACCTCACGAAGAATCTTTATGTACTGAGTAGAAACTTTTTGACTATCGAGGGCTTCTAAGACCGCTTCTATCTCAACCGAATCAAAGGCCTTCTGTAAAACGATGAAAGTGAGATAGAGCGGTCTTTTGTATTCTCGCGATACTTCAATGAACCTTGTAACCATGTGGATATGGTCCATCGTACTAAATCCTCTTCGGAACCCTGCTTGCTCACATAGCCGTCCTTCGTCCAGTGTTCTGTCAATCCTGTTTAGGATGACTCCAGTGAAATGCTTGTACACAACAAACAGAAAGCAGATTGGGCGATAGTTGCCGATACGTGTAGGTCACCCATTTTGAACAATAAAACGGTCTTGCTGTTCTCCCACTGAATAGGGACCTTCAATTCAAACAGGTAACGTATGAAGAACCGAGACAGGGTGTTTACGACGACTGGCGGAAGGTTCTTCAAGTGTTCTGGTCTTATCCTGTCCGGGCCTGGTGCTGTTCGATTTTTCGCCAACGAAATGGCATGCCGGATTTCGGAAGGGAGAACCGTTGGTACGGCATATCCATCCTCTTTTATTTCATATGACGGGAGGTGGACACGGCTATCGAAGAGATCCGAGTAGTATTCATGAATGATTTTCTCCTTTCCCTTTCTGGACGCTAACTCTTCCGTCTGGGCGCCGGAGTGCAATCATTTTGGTCTCGTAATTGGCGAAGCCTCGGTGGACTTTGTGAATGCTTTGCCCAGCCTCTGCAGCTTCGACCATGACTGCTGCTCTTCTCTCTTCAAGACCTTTTATCGCCTGTCTGCATTGTTTTGCAAGTTCGGACGTTAGTTTGCGGTTGCCTGCAGCTCGTACGATTCCACGCTGGTGTATTAGCTCAAGTGTTTCTGGAGACAATCGTCTCTTGGTGACTTTCGAACTCTCAGTTTTCAAAGCGCTAGTGTGGAGATGTTGAATGAGCCGATCGTATTCTTCGTCGATGTTATCGACAACGGCACCTTCCCAACAGCCGACTAATGAATTGAATAAGTCCCAGTTTATGGTTGTTCTGGGACTTCTGTTTTGGAATTTAGCGGCTTCTCTCCTTTCCGCGAGAAATAGAATCTTACACGAAGGAGACGTTGGTCTGATCCCGTGTAGAATTTTGGGACAACAGCGACATCGGTTAAGCAAAACCTTCTACTTACTATGATGTGGTCTATTTCGTTTTGGTACTCTCCATTAGGAGACCTCACGTCCGGCGCTCAGGGTGGGGCTTCTGGAAGCGCGTGTTACCATGGATTGTTTTGATCGTCATGATAAACTCAGATAGCCGCTCACCCTGTTCGTTCCATTCTAATCCGTGAGTCCGAATGTTGCGTTCTTCCGGCGATCTTATCGGTCCAATCTTAGCGCTGAAATCCCCAATGATTACCTTGAAGAATGTATCGCCTTCTCTGTAGAACTTCTCCATGTCCATATAACGCTTCGACTTCTTCGTCATAGTTTGATGTCGGCGCGTAAACGACGAAGATTGTGAAAGCCGGAATTGATCCACGTCTTCGTAATCGTAAACGTACGATTCGGGTTGTAAATTGTTCGAATGAATCGATGTTCATGGACAAACTTGTGCTGACGAGAACGTCGACGCCGTGGACTCCTCTACTATCACATGTTCCGAGGAACAGTTCTCCGGTGTCATAGACGGCGTTAAAAAGCTGTCGTCTTCTCGTCACGGCCAGGCCGATGACGTCGTACCTTATCCTTCTCGCTTGCATGAGAAAGTCTTCTATCGAGGAGTCGGATGCAAGTGTACGTGCATTGTAGGTACAGATCGTCACCATAGTTCTTTAAAATCCAGGCAGCTTCCATTGGCCCTGAGATTTTAGCAGCATCTCCGTACTCGTCCTATCCAACTCTGCGAAATTGGGGGGTCTTTCGCGGTCAGAGGAATGAGGCCCGTTTTTTAAACTGTGTTTTGCAGTTTTGATACCCACGTATAACTTTCTGGGCTCCAAACGTGGGGCTGGGTATACTCACGGGTAGCTTGCCAGGCTCTCCCAGAGTGGACATGGAGCTTATTTGTTAAAGGCGAGTCCCAACCACCTCCCGTATTCTTCTCAGTCACCTGATTGCAGGCTTTTGGCCGAATTGACTCGTAGAATACAATTCTCATAAGCAAGGACGCACCCACACAAAAATGCATAAATACGCCTAGCAAATACAGAAAGTATGTGCTAAATCAGCGCAGCAGAAACAGGGAATCCATCCCATGGATCCACCTGCGTCTCAGGGAAGCAAAGGTCGCTTTTGGTCCGCGATTACCCCCTAACGGCCACCTGGGGACGCGCCACGTACCCTCGCGACTACCGGCTCGAGATCCCTCATATCAGATCCGTGGAAGGCCATATAAGTGCTGGGAAATAGTTCACATATAGGTCATTTTAGACAGGAAGAGAAAAGGCTGACTCTTCAGTGAGCAAAGGCACTGAAAATATTTCCAGAAATGGAAGGAGAAGTACTGTTAGCAGCGTCCTGCCTGCTCCCTGCTGTAATATGTGATAAGCTCTCGAAAGGAAACCATATACGTTGAGCAATCTCTTTCGAATGCGTTATGCATTTGAATTCATTAAGCATCGTTGGAAGTGACTGAATACATATCTGGCCTACACAATGACTCGAGGTGGCCAACCGATGTATCGAGCCAGTGCTGCCATCCTCTCAGACAAGTCGGGAACCAATTTGCCGACCCTGGAGGGAAGGAGGGGTTGATGGGCCAGGGGCGAGGGAATCGATCCCATGTGTATTGCAGGGCACCCCCGACCAATACGCCACACGTGCTCATCATACAGCAGCAAGACTTTAGATAAAATAACCAGGCATAATAACTAAACCTAAGACTAAACCTAAGCCTAAGCCAAAGAAGGTGCAACTACGCTATGCCTAACTTACACCATGAGCAAATTGCAGTATAAACCACACATGAGAATGAAAGCTACTGTTCTAGGAACATAAACATACATTAGATAAAATAACTAATTTCCTACTTAACAGACATAGAACGGAAAAAGAGTTCGTAGTAGTTAAGTAACTAACGTATGCATACATGGTGAGACACCCATTTGCCGACTTTCCACTCGATCAAGGGTTACCGTGTAGTTTAGTTTACTTTACTTTGATATTCCATGGTTAAGTGTATATACTGAATACCATTTGAAATTGATGAAATGAATAGTTCACCCTCGCGATGAGTTGCACCGTAGCGCCGAGTTTTGCGGCGGCGACTGCTTGATTCGCTCCTTTGCCACCACTCGCCATGTGGAAGGAGTTCCCTCGAACACTCTCGCCAGGTCGTGGGAACGATTTTGTATAGCTGAATGGGAATAAAACACAAAAAAACCGCAACTCTACCACTTCGGTGTGAAAGCATCTTACTTTTTATGTACCGCTCCAATTACGAAACGTTTCGTTGATTTCTGGTAATCTCATTCTTGACATCGATGTTACGATAGGAAGAGGAAACCAAAAGCCATAACAAATCGTCCTCATATCATACAAAGGCAAAATGGTCTTCAGTAAATTATGATTAACCAGAACGGCTAGCCCCTGTTGTTCGCACAAGCGACTTCGTCGAACTTTCTAGTCTTGTTATCGGTACAAAGCACCTTTGTTTTGCAATAGAGACGAAGAGTTGGATAACTAATTTTCTGTGAATTTTCAGACGAAAATAATTTCAAGCAAATTAAGCAACACTACAGCCTTATACTAAGGACTTTGTGTCATATTTTATATGCAATTGCTTGAAAAATTGGATGGCCCATCTTCACTGGTTGTGCGGCACCCAGCACAATCTCCATTTTTCACGATCTTTGCTAGTTTAGCCATCGTGGCTCCCTGGAGTTCGGAGGTCAACCAAACCGAGGTCTGCCTAGGGTCGTCACCACCACAGACACTCACCGCCCTTGTGGATCAGAAGATTTGCTAACATGCAACTAGTTTGATACCAGAACGGTGATGGATCCTGGTATTGCTTTACTCCTTGCTGGGCTTCTGATGAAAACGCCGGACTCATTCTCAGCTTGGAAGGCCCTGCTGGGGGATGAATCCCTCCGCTGTATATAGCAGTCAGACACCCAGGGTCACCTCCCAGCCACGATGAGGCGGTGAAACACGGAAGTTGTAGCTATTGCTATCAAAAAATTTTATGACAAAACAATATTGGCCAATTAGTGCAGAGTCAAGTGTTTCCATTATGAAATGTAGCCTGCAACCCATATTGTACTCATTTCATAAACGAAATCAGAGAATTGTATATGGAGAGTTCCATACCTTACCAGATCTTGCACGACGCTGCCAAAGACAACTATCTTCTTCGACTCCATCAACACCTGATTCCTGCAATATTTGTTTATAATGGTGAAGAGAACATGAGGAATTTTTGGGGGAGTCACGATGGTAACTCAGAGTTTTCACCGAAAAAAACAGAGACCCGTTCGGAATTCTTTGGAATTCGGCAAATTTGAGATACATGGAAGAATGAACACTTAAAGATAACTTTTCGACGAAAGCAACCAATGCTCGAATCACAAGGCTTACGTTTAAATTTCACTGCTAGCGGTTGAAGACCCCTCGATGACGGTACAGTCGTACTACTACGTCTTTTTTGTAGAGGCTTTGTGCTGCTATCAAGAATTCTTCAGTTAGGTGCATGCTCGAAACAGTAATCGGCATAAAAAGAAAACGAAAAACAACCACCACCACCGGTTTGTTGCCGTCTGATAAGACAGAAGTAAATATAGGAGACCGGCTGGAAGAGCGGAACCAGTCCAGTGGGTTACTGCTCGTCTTCGACTAACGAGCACCGCAGAGCGACGGCGGCCGGGAGTTGCGTCGCGGTCAGCGAGGGCAGCGGTGGTGATGGGTGTTACAGGCACTAAGGACGTTCAATAGGAAGCGACGTGTACATTGCACCACAGAAAAATGATGTAATTTAGGGTGTATCCGGAAGCAAAGTAGTAACTTCCTTCACCTTATGGTGTGATCTTACACGATTTAACAGCTTACTATCGATTGCCCTTTTTAAGTCCTAGTACGGAATTCACCCGACACTCCAATACTCTCTACTTGGTCTTGTCCTTGGCCTGTGGACCGTTCAACCTTTCATTATTTTCAGCTCTGCAAATATATCGTCATGACTTGGGCACACGGCTGCCATAACCCGTTTCTCTGGTTTTCAGAATTCTTCCGATGTGCTTTGTCATCCTACTTCAACTTTACACATATTTTAAGTGTAAGCGAACAATCGCTATTGACATGACGAGTAAGACGGATAAGAAGTGAGTGGTATCAAAGAGAAAGTGCAAAACACTGATTCGAGAAAAATAGACCAAATAACCCGGCCAAAACTTCGATGCACTAATAACGTTCACCTTTTTTGCCAGAACCTAGAACCATTCCCTTATTTCAAAGCAACCTCGTAACTGTAGCCATTTCAAAAACAACTTGAGACCATCACGCCTTCCGGATTGTTAGAGCAAGTCCAATAAGCTGTGTGGACAATACTATTTATTACCTTTAGCAAACTTATTGGAAAATAAAACCGAGATTGAGTGCGATGTGACAGGGAAAACGATGGAAGGAAGAAAAAACATCCACCTTCAGAAGCACTTTTATGAGGACCGGAAAGTGCTCACGAAAAACAGTAAAATGATACAAAAAACACTGTTGTGTCTTCACAACGATACCCATGTAATTCAATCAGACTGGTGAGCTCGAATAAATATACGTACGATCATATCTTAACGTGCAGTGATAAACCTAACTCATCAAGTCGAAACAATGGACGAAAGGTACGAAACATGTCCACTGCAGAATAGACTATTGAATGAGCAATTCTCGAAAATCTAACGGAATCCTGTCGTGTTTCCTTCTTGTAAACTTATAAGTAAGATGATTGCATCGTCAACATAGAAAAAACTGAGGCTTCTAATTAACTCTTCTCTACAGCATAAAAAAAAACTAAGTTATCTGAGGCCGTGCAAAAGAAATATTAAGACTGTGTGAATACGATAAAGAATTGATGACCCTACACAAAACAATAACGTGGGAACAAAATGAATCGCTCTTCAACTAAGAAATCATGTAATTTAAGAATGACTGATGACAAAACAGGAGACGGAAAGTATTACGACAAGTCTAAGATAAATAAGGATACGGCATGAAGTCGCTCATTCACTTGATTCACCGTTCACCGGCAGCTCAGTATTTCCGTTCACTTTGTCGCTGTTCAACTCATCTTCAGTAGGATCGCATGAATAATGTTTTCTGAAACATTAATATTGCATGGAATAAAAATGTCCACACAAAAAGAGACAATCCTACTTTTCATGCTACTAACTAAGAAATACCTCCCAACGGTTTACCGCCTCATCGTGGCTAGGAGGTGTTCCCGGGTAATCGACTGTGATGTACAAAGGGGAATTCAACCCCTGGCAGGCTATCCTAACCTGAGAAAGAGTCCGGTGTTTTCATCAGGAAGCCTAGTTAAGAGTGAACCAATACCAGGATCCACCACAGTCCTGGTATCAAACTAGTCACACGGTGGCAAATCTCCCTCTGATCCACAAAGGCTGCGACTGCCTGTGGTGCTGACGGCCTGGGATAGACTTCGGCCAGGCTGATCTCGGGACAAATCTCCGAAACAGTGTAAATTATGTTGGGACCCAAACAACCAGTGAAGACGGCCCGTCCAAGTATCCAAGTAAGTAATAATGAAACAATTAAAGCACAGACCACGATTTTATAACATAATGCAAATTAAACACTGAGGTGTACCTGAAAATTGATCTGGTCGGTACTCCTTGCTGTTTGTAAAACAATAGATACGCGTCGTCTGATTGAACATTGCTTATGGATTGCTTCGACACTATAGAATCGTCGAAAAGTCGCCAGTCTTCAATAATTTTTCCTACACACTATAATTCACGAAAAAAAACTTACTGGGACAAATTTGTGCATTGTGGTTCCATCGGTAATTCTTTTCTCACCTGATGCGAAAAAAAAGTATCACAAAGATTGTTTATTAGGATGTGGAAGGTATCTGCTGTACAAATACAAAAGTGTGTAACCCACAACGATTGGTTGCTCTAATTGCAGTAAAACAAAAAACGGTTGCTAACGAGGAAATATGGTACTCTTGCTAAAGAAGAATTTTAGAAAAAGAGTTGCGCAAATGCGGAGCAAGTAGCGCATTGGTCGGAGGCGCCTTCCAACACACATGGGATCGGTCCCCGCACCCCAGGCCCATCAAGCCCTCCATTCCTCCAGGGTCGCCAAATTGGCTCCAGACTTGTCTAAGAGGATAGCAGCACTGACTCGATACACCGGTAGGACACCTCGAGTTATTGTAAAGACCAGATATTCATGCAATCACCTCCAATGATCTTAATGAAGTTGAATGCATGGCGCATCCCTAAAGGATTGATAAACGCCGAGAGCTCTATCCTCTTATTTATTTAAAAGTTGCCCGTAGATTATACTGCATGAAGAAAAATTAGGAGTGCGTTAGTGCTGCTAATGAACGACATACCGACGATAGTTTTGGTTGAATCAAATCCTGGCAAACGTCCAATGCTCACATAATGACCAAAGTAACTACTACCCGAGTGACAAACCACGCCGGTTAAATCGTAAACCTAGAATTGAAGTTGTGCACGAACATGCCATCAAGTATCAAAAATTCATCAATATTGAAACAGATACTGTATTTTGCCCGGTTGGAGCAGTTTCGGCCAAGAACGGAGACATGTCAAGATTAGTAATGGGGTAGATCACTCTCCTCTCATCTTTGCTTCTACGATGCATTGCTTGATAAGTGGCTGTAAAAACAATCAATTGTCACGAACCTGTTTAATCGTAGAAATCTAGGAGCAAACAATGTGTAAATTACCTACATTAAGTTTCTTAACAGCACCCAACTAGTGGTTGAGTACGTCAGAAACTTTCAACCAAAATGGATCTATTTCCCTGGAATTAACAGTAACTTGGGTACCTGTGTAAACAAATCGCTTTAGTTGAACAATGAATATTGGTGGAAGTCGAAATAGCTCCAATTTCTTCGTTGCTTCAACATGATCGCGGCACTTGTTGCAGTACCAAGATTCCTCTGGTTTCAATCGCTCTGTCTCAGAAAACATACCCTGGATCGTACAACATTTTTTAGTACTGTCCACTAAAACGTTGGCCATCAGAGGTGTAATGACTGGAACACACCAGCATATCTTGCAGAGTAGGATCTCCGTTGATACTCGGCGTCGACTTCCTCTTTTGTTTCATCAGTTGCTCTGACCTCTCTTGGTCCACTTGCTCAAAAAAAACAATAGTTTTCAGGAGATAAAAAATTAGTTGACATTCCCAGTGTTTCTTCGTTCACTCCGTCAAAAATAACAATCATTTCTAGGAGATGAAAAGTAGACTGAATTGTTTATATTTAACCGTACCAATGTTTTTTTGTTCTCTACACTTATAAATGGACGACCATTACGAAGATTGTACCAGTTGATTGAGATATACGAGTCAGTTTTCAAATCAAGAGGTTGACCTAAAAGGTTAAGATCAGTGTTAATTCAAATATATAACACATTAAGGGCAAAAATCACTTTGCAGAAAAACAAAACTTTTTCACCTGTTTTATCATCAACAATGTTGTCGCCAAGTACATGTGCTTGGTCCAACAACTTCCGTACAAGGAACATTTTAAATTCTGGCTTCTTTTGTTGTTCTGGTAAAACGCTCTGCCTTCGTGGAGTTACATCGGTAGTACAGGAAGCCGGAGAGGGCTTAAATGACAGCGTCGCATATGAAGTCATGGGATTCTATTAATTCGACACTGATGTAAATTAAAAAGAGAAGGTTCTATCGCACAGAGGTCGATCAAATGCCACCATATTCGCCTGTGAGAGTAAGGTACGAAACATGGCCGTGGTCTGGCCACTGCTAATGGTCGTATACATCGTTGTTCACTGTTTCAACGAATACACAGATATAGCGCAGATACAGTAGTGAATCATAATCAGAGTGAACAACACAAGTAACATGATCCTTCTGTTTTCCTATCGATAACTGAAGTCTCGTTTTTTTGACTCAACGTCATTAGAGTTGGTCACAAATAAGGTCAAAAGGCTAAAGGTGGACCTTCATTAGAAGATAATAACGCACACTGAAGTGCATACACTAACACAGAAGGTAGAAACCTATTGAAGTTGGGATCAAATTAATATTAGTATTAAATCAATGTCAAATTTTTCTTTGCTGCCTACTACAATGTTTCACGGCAGGGTATTACGTGAAATAGAACCATAATGATGCTGAGATACTTGCAAAACTCCGGACTGCAGGTATCTGCAGTATAGAACGAACGAGCTAATAGCCTTCCTGAAAGTCCACGCATTCGCCACGACAGCATTCGGGTCCTCCGCTTTGTCTTCTTCTCAGCTAGTTTTCCATCTACCGGTGCCATCAGCAGTCGGCCTTCAACGAGATTGATCTAGAAGCACAAATCATGAACCTAGTTAAGCTGAAGCTGTAGTTGAAATCATAATGTTAACTTTTTATTGGCCGCCTACTACAATTTTTTACGACAGGGTATTATGCAATCAGCATCGTTGTGGTTGTATTTTACACAATTACCCTTCCGTGTACTAGGCAGCAAATAAAAAGTATTGTAGTAGGCAGCAAATAAAAAGCTATTATTGTGGTTTCAAGCGCAGCTTCAGCTCAACTGGGTTCATGATTTTTGCTTCCAGATCAATCTCGTTGAGTGTCTATTGCTGATGGCACTGATAGATAGAAAACTAGCTGAGAAAAAGGCAAAACGAAGAACCCGCACGCCGTGGTGGCGAACGCGTCGACCCCTAGAAAAGGTAATAGCTCGTTAGCTCCCCTACCGCAGATACCTGCGATTCGGAGTTTCGCAAATATCTTAGTATCATTATTGCTATAGTAGTATTAAATGTTGGAAAAGAACTCACCACAGCACTGACACGATGAAGCCTTGGTGGTGCACCAATGGCCTAAAAGCTGGAAAATTACACATGTAAGACAATAAGGATGAACAAGGTTCAAGATGAATGTGTACCCCTATCTCGTCTGCATTACTGGCTTCACTTTCATCACCATCTGAGCTCTTGCTTTCCTCGCTTGACGATGACAACTGAGGTGGCTGGAAAATGTCTACCGAAAACCTAGAATGCTTCCGTATAATTAATACATTTCATAAAACACTAGAGCCAAACAAACCTGCATCTTGCCTCAAGGACACGAATGAGCTGACGATAAGTAAGCTGACTTCGAGGAAGGGAGACCATAAATGGTTGACCAACATAGTCAACCGTGGTTCGTTTGCGGCACTCATCTCGATGACCACCCTTGTTCCAATTAGACAACTGACATTGTCTAAAAGTTGCGCTTCTATCGAAAATATAGTGTGAAAATTAAGGATATTCGATGGAAAAATACTTGTTGCAGTAGTAGGCATTGTAGCATGCTTCGCAGGTTTTCAAAGGTTCTGTGCTTCTTCCGCATTCGTTGCAGGCGTAACGCAAAGTTGAAGGGTAGAGTTGACGTTGCACAACAAAGAGCTCAACGACCGGTTCGTTGCAGTTTGCAGGGTCATGAACTTGGAAACTAAATATTCAAAAATTATAAAAAATGAACAGAACAGAACGACCAATGTAAGAAGTAAAAAACGTGACTGAAACTACGAAGCAAATTGTTTAAGCAGCATGAATTAAAACGACTCACGCATATAACACATCACCGCAACATATATCGCTGGATTTGTCCGAAGGAGAGTAGACTTTTTGAATACGATGACCAAACACTTCGATAAGTCGAAGCTAAAATAAGGTTTCACATAGTTGATTCTTAGTATGTTATTAAACCATGGCAGAAAGTTTGTGGAAATGCTCACCACTTTGGTGGGCACCCTCACGATCTCCGAAAGGGCGTTAAGAAAATCCTGAATGGTACCTTCCGAGGAATACTGCACGTTTAACTGAAAGAATAATAACAATGTTAACTTTTTATTTGGTACCTACTACAATTTCCACGCCAGGGTACTATGTGAAATACAACCGTAATGATGCTGAGATATTTGCAAAACACCGGACCGTAGGTGTCTGCGGTGGGGAACGAACGCGCTATTGTCCCTTCCGGAGAGTAACCCGTTCACCACCACACCATGGAGGTCCTTCATCTGGCCTGTTTCTCAGCTAGTTCTACCGATCATTGCCATCAACAATCACCCGTGAATGGGAGTGGTCTGGTGAGTCTAAATCGGTATTAAACCCAGCAAAGCTGAGGCTGTAGTTGAAATCACAATGTTAACGTTTTATTTGCTGTCCACTACAGTTTTTACAATAACAACAATATTCGTTAACACTTCTTATAGTGAAGAGCATAACCAAATTCTGCAGCGTAATTCATAAGGTCAAAGGTCTTGCTTAATTACTCATTCCATAAAATGTGTAAATAAACGCTTACCTGCAGCGGATTCAACGATGGATCATGCGGCCAAAACCAAACGGTCATTGTCTTTTTTAATTTAGGGAATGGAACGGGAAGATATACGAACGGATCGAAAGTAATTGACACCTAGTGAAACTCATTATCAATAACGAAAAAAAAAGTACTACTTTAAATAAATAGCGACTAACTCGATCACATTTTGGACATTGCAAACGCGATTTAAGCTGACCATGGAAAAGGTCGACGAATATGGAATCATTTCTAAGCGTGTGGTTAAACCACGCTTCATTTGAAACCTAAGAAAAAGGGGTAAACTACGAAATGAACGAAGACTAACATAAAAGTGAGGAATAGTACAAAGAAAGCCTATATTGTTAGAACGCCCACATCAACATCTGATCGTCCATCACCTTCCACGGTAGTAGTCAAAGGCTTCGACTTCACTCTATTAAGATCTTCATGAAGACCATCCAGCAAAAAGGAAAGGAATTCGTGTGCGTCATGCTGCGCAAAGTTTGCAAACTGCGATGCCTTCTCAGCAACCAGTTCCTAGAATCAATTCTTCATGCATAGACGGATAAAGATTAAAGGCAAATTTCCAAGTGTATATTGAAATTTGCGAGCTGCACCATACCTTAATCTTCGTCGGTTCAACAGCACGATTCTGACCATTCCACACAAGTCTCATGAAATCGCCAAAAGCGTCGGCTAGACGACCCTATAAGCGCGATTAGAGAACGCGAAACAAAGAAGAGACTGTGAGAAGATATATAGCACTGCTTATATGAGAAATAAAAAGACAAAAGTGAACTCAATCCTCCCAACGGTTTACCTCCTCATCGTGACTGGGAGGTGTTCCTGGATGTCGGCTGCGATATACAGCGGGAGGATTCATCCCCTTGGCAGGGTCTCCCAAGCTCAGAAGGAATCCGGATTTTCCATCTGGAAGCCCAGCAAGGAGTAAACCAATAACAGAATCCACCGATGTACTGCTAAGTCGCATGGTGGCAAACGTCCCTCTGACACATAATTGCTGCGACTGGTGGCGGTGCCGACCTAGGGCAGGCTTTGGCCAGACTAACCTCGAGACTCCTGGGAAATGCAATACGCAGATTATGCCTAGGCCCACACAACCAGTCAAGAGGGGCCGTCCAAGTATCCAAGTACCCAAGCAAGATTGTCAATGCATACTAAAATACAAATAAGTTCTAAACAGAATTACTCACTTGATATTTGAACGGCCCGTCATCACTAGTTGTGCAGGCCCTAGCATAATCACCATTTTTCGGAGATTTTCTGGTTAACCACCACGCGACTTTGATACCAAGACGGTGTTGGGTCCTGGTATTGGTTTACTCTTAGCTATGTCTCTTGATGGAAACGCCAGACTCCTTCCCAGCTTGGGAGACCCTGCCGGGGAGACGAATCCCCCGTTGTACATTGCAGTCTGACACCCAGGAACACCTCCCAGCCACGATGAGGCGGTAAACCGTTGGGAGATAAACAGAATTAGCGTACACGAAATGCAAAAACTTTCTTTAAAAAGTTGTTCGCTTTTTATTAATTCTATATTTCGTTGTAAATTGTAGATTTTACTTTGAATCTTTCTTTGAGTGTTTCTGCTCCACTGTCAAATTCTGTAAAAAGTAAAAATTCAGCGAATTTCTAAACATTATTCAGCACACACCAGCTCGCAATATTAACGGTGCATCTAACGAAGAAAAATATGTTGGTCTCAGTTGCTTCATGAACAGAGATGGGCACACAGATTAGGGCTGTCAGGCAATCTCAACGAAAAGTATACTCAGACTCACCTAGAACGCTTCTGAAATCTCTAGAAAAACTAGCGCAAAGTTAAACATATAATCGGAAAACCTCGACGAAGTTGGAAATTCAGAAAATTTACAGCTGTGCTACTTATGGCCTGAACTAATGGCAAACAAGTAATCTTTACCAATCTATTCCGCGCCAGTTTGACATAATAAAAAAATTAAAGGAGCTAAATATTGTATTGACCGCCACCTGCCCCACAACCAACAGAGCAAAACATGGAAGAGCTTAGGAACACAACACTGATGGCCCCGAACACTGAGCCTCGGAACTGCAATATACTACACCTTCACTTGCGAAATAACAAAGTAGTACCACATTAAAAGACCTTATTCGTAAAATATAATGTCCGTTGTGTCCGCCGAACATATGGAACCCAGTCTATATTTAGATGTGCACCACAGGCTTTATTAGAGTTAAATAGTGCACGATCGAGTTAGTCGATACTCAAGCGAATTACGCGTAATAAAGTCGAATAGTTCTTATTCCGATCAATTAAGGGGTATCTAACTCACTGCTCATAAAAGCTCGTATAACTTTCGCTACAACTTAATATACTAATATATTAAAAACTAACACTTAGGATAACCTACTTCTCCAGCAGTTCCCTTAAGAGAAGGTTTCTGGAAACCATACATAAACATCGGCGAATGCCTAACATTTTATGTCGACGTTGGTTAAAAGAAAACATACATACACCACAATGTTATCTGGAGAAACAAATCGAAAACAGTTTGAAACCTACTCTGAATCCAAGTGGATTGTTAGGATTCACGTCGAGTTTATAGTAGTGATCTAGGAAATATGTCTTAAGTTCGATATTGTTGATTAGCATTTGTAACGTTGCGTTCATGAAACAAGTGTTCCCTATGTTTCGCAAGCCAGTGAACCCAAACGGTACCGTTGCTACCACACGATCCTCGAATGGTTGAACCTGGAACTTAAACAACTAGGATGGAAAAATAGGCCTGAAGAACTAATCAATTAGTTAATGACAATTACGTTTTTTCATTACATCGCAGCAAGTAGACTCCTCTAGATGCAAAATTGCTACACATAACTTTTGTAGAAACATGTATTGACCCAAGCGAGGATCTCTTGTAAAGATAGGTAACGGACAAAGCATTCAATGAGCAAAAAACGAAGCTGTACAGAACCATACAAGCGAAATTGTTGGGTAACTAGCCGCTACATTTAAATTCTCCACCAGAAACGCTTCTGAAAGCCCACATTCGTTTACGTTTGGCACAAATAATGGACATTTTGTAACATTCATAAAGGGTCAAATTGACATGCAATCTACTCAGCCGCACACTTCCATAACCTAATTAGACAAAACTTAATATATAAATCTTTCATTCCCATAATAAGCAGCTTCTTCCAAACAGTCATCGTGTTGTTCTCAGCAAATTAACCAACTATTTCGTGGAAAACAGCCGCACAGAGTTTTTTTACACGGGTGAATCACAAGGTACTCCTTGCAGTCCACTTTTGAACTTTTAGAATTTATCTAGGATGCTTCAAGAGTTCCACGCGCCGATGTTTTAGATTCCTGTGCGGGGATGGTAACGTCTACTTCAAAATCTTCCCCGTTATGTCTCTGGGTCCTATGCGCACCTAGTGTAGCATTTGCCCTAACGTAAAATTTACAGACTAGGTGTTCCAACGCTAACTTTGGCGAGTAGATATTCTCATACAACGACGCAGAGTAGTCTGCTCGTTTCGCCAATGTATTTGTCACCTCACGCTTTACAAGTATAAACCGTACCGGAACTCATGCAATCACTGTCTCTACCATTTGGGCGTACTATGTAATTTTGTGCTTTGCACAGACGGTCATACAGGCGGTTGCGCACTAGTTCGCATGCAGTTTGCACCAGGTGCAAGATCGACTCCGTTATAAATGTAAACTTGAGGCACTGCACAAAAACGGAAAACAAGAAGTAGTGGCATTATCACCAACACCTTTTCCTTCATCGTTCTTTGAACAGCAAAAACCTAACGTCGAGGTGGTTATCAATTTTCGCATACTTTCGGACGAAACTCTCAAAAGCCTTAACCTCTATCACGACGGAAAGTTTAGTTCCGACGTCACAACAGCGCAAAAATGTGGTACAACATATGTTCGAGAACTTAAAAATCAAAAGCTATTAGACTGTTAGTAAGCGATAACGGCGGAGTGTGTAAGAATTTCCCGTGAGTTAGATATTGAGATAACGGAAAAACATCTTGAAGACTCTTCCCTTTATCGTTCATCATCTGAAAAGGATTTCAAAAATCAATACCGAGAACTAAATACCAAATGGGTTAAAGTGGAAAGCCCAGGAGATTTAAAATAATTAGTTATTTCTGACCTTAAAATCGAATTACCAACATATTCCGTTATACAAATGGTTATCAAAACTCATAATTTTGCATCCACTGATGATGTGGCGTCTACCGATCCCCTAACCTTCAAGGTTAAACCCATCACTAGTTGTTCAAACGGGCCTACTGATCGTACAATATAGTTTATAAACCTTTGTCATCCAATTTTTGAAACACATGCCAGTCCATATTACGGATACTCACATATTCCTGAATCGGCCACGTAACGATCGTCTTAACAGCACATGTGATGGAGTCCGACGTTAAAACCCTTTACACCAACGTGTCGAATAACTCCACAACACAAGATATCCTCAATCTCCCTGTGCAACGCAAAGAAGCAGCAAACACGTATGCTTTCCACATTCTGCAGTCCATGGCCATCTTAAAAAACTACCTAAACTGCTCAATCTTCAGATGGTCCGGAAAATACCACGCACAAATTGGTGGGATAGCAATGGGACAGGGACTGACACCATACCTTGCCATTGTCTTTATCACTAAGATAGAACCGCCAGTGATCGATCTCCGGTAATTACTCTACTGTAGCTATGTAGACGACTGCTTTGTCATTTGGTCACCACAAGAGGGAATGGACAACTATTTTCGTATGACCACAACGTTGCTGAGATATTTGCAAAACTCTGGACCGCAGGTGTCTATGGTGGGAAACGAACGCGCTATTGTCCTTTCCGGGTAGTAACGCGTTCACCACCACACCATGCGAACCCTTCGTTTCGGTGTGGTGGTGAACGCGTTACTCCCCAGAAAGGACAATAAAGAACAATAGCGCGTTCGTTCCCCACCATAGACACCTGCGGTCCAGAGTATTGCAAATATCTCAGCAACGTTGTGGTTGTATTTCGCTTAGTACTCTGCCGCGAAATTATAGTAGGCAGAAAATAAAAAGGTATAACATTATATTTTCATATGTTTTGAGATATTGGACGAACACTCAGAGTACACAAAATTCACCTGAGAGATTGGCGAAACGAGTGGACCACCGTGCGTCCGTTTAAAACACCTAATCGGTAACTATAAAGTTAAATCAAATACTCTACTAGGAGTGCATAGGACATGGAGACATAACGGAGAAGATTTTGAAGTACAAGTCACTATCCTCGCAAAAGAATCCAAAACACCAGCGCGTGAAACTCTTGAGGCGTCTTGGATTAATTCCAAAAATCCAAAAATTGTCTGCGAAGAGAGTGCTTTGCGGTGACGGGTGACGTCGGGCAACAACTCAGGGTGGTTTTCGACCTGAGCCAGGCACCATTCCTCGCCCACGTAGTGCTCTGTGCTGCTGCTCTCCGCTAAATAAATGTTAGACCTAGAGAGTAGAAACGATGAGTCAAGAACAAAACGGTGAATGTTTAAAAAAGCTGCTTGTTAAGTGAATGAAAAATTGTATATTACGTTCTATCTGCTGATATTACGTGTTTGGCTGAGTAAACTACGTGTCAACTTGACTTTTCCAGGCTCCAAGGAAGGTGAAACCGCCGAAACGTCAGCTACTGTGAACTAATAAGTGCTGTAACAATACGCTAGTGTCTGCTTATCAAAAAAAAAAAAAGAAAAAACGAAATCAGAAACAATTTCGCTGAATATATAAGCTGTTTACTTGGAACAGTTAATAAATGCAATTTGGTACCGTTGCAGTTGGTTTATATCCACTGTAAGAGGACTGATATCGCTGTAGATCAGCAGATGCAGGTGGCGGTCCAGCATTATTCGGAAGTAAGTCAGGCTTTCCTGGTTCTGTTCGAGTGGTGACTGATGCATACTGTCCATAAGAAGGCGAAAACGTTTTCTCAGGCCGACGTTTAGCTGAAGTAAAACATATCCTTGATGTGGCATACAAATTAGATAAGAAGCTTCTAAAATTATATTTCGAAAAAACAGTGGTCAAAATTGTGACGAACGTTCCACGATTGATTGACTCCTTCACTTTACTTTGATAAAAATTGCACTTTTAACAATCGACCCCCAATAGACAAAAATATTGGGGGTTACAAAACAGTGAGCAGAAAAACAGATCACACAAATCCTTGGTAACTAAACTAGCAATATTAATCGCTTGTCAGAAATACTAGAACACATCCTTTTCTACAATACTAGAATACACATTTTCCGAAATAACTGTGATGAACAATCGGCGTCGATTTTACCGTTAAATCTCTGCTGACCACCTTCCATCTCTACCCGCAAGCGCTCGCGCTCTTCCCATTCCTTGAATTCACGAAGTTTTTCGTCACGTTCAGCTCGCTCACGTGCCTGCATATTCAACTGTGCCACGTTTACACTCCTGAAAACGAAAGTACTGAAAACTTAAGTCGCTTCAAAAAAGAGGCAGCAATTATGAAAGCGAGTAAGAAACAAAACAAGAATATACGGAGATTACCGGTAGCTTGCAATTGCCGACGAGGATCTGCTACGGACTGTTATAGACGGTGACGAGTTCGCTGTTTGGGTATGGATAGTCGTTCCATTAACTGCTGTAGATGAAGGACCAGAGGAAGACGCCGCCAATGCATAGCTAGATGGACTGTGGCCAATTGAAGAGACATAGGATAGAACTGCTAAAACAAAACACAAAATAATGGTGTCCCTATTGTAAAAGTGGTTGCTGCCAGCCCCTCAGCTGTGCTTATAAAAGTTAGCATATGTTTACATTATATATATATATATATATATATGATATATATATATATGCCCTACAATATCTCAGCATCATTGAAGTTATATTACGAAATACCTCCTGCCATTAAAAAGAGTAGGCAGTAAATAATAAGTTTATATTGTGACTATAACTACAGCTTCTGCTTAACTGGGTTCGCTGCCGATTTGGGCTCCACAGATCAATCCCGCCCACGAGTTATTGCTGATGGCAGAGATCGATAGGACTAGCTGGCAGACAAGCGAAACGAAGGACCCGCATGGTGTGGTGGTGAACGTGTTACTCCCCGGTAAGGACAACAGCGCGTTCGTTCCCCCATCGTAGACACCTGTGGTCCGAAGTCTTGCAAATATCCCAGCATCATTGAAGGATCTTCCAAACTCTTGCTCGAAGAAAACAAGAATAAAAGACAAGTATAAAAAGTATAAAAAGCACACACAGCTTAACTGCAACAGAGCAAAGTCTCTTCGAAAGGCTAATCAAGTTGTAAACTCCACGACTAACTATCGGTGGTTATCAAAAACCTGCACCTTCAGTTATCCATTAAAGTTGAAAATTAAAAAGATTTTGGCCAACTATTCCTTGAATATATGGCGGGGAATATATTAACCTCTCTAGGTAAAGTGCATACCGTTCCAACCGAGTTTCTTAGCGAAGAATCAGAATAAAGCAAACCAAAGCTGAGGGCAATAGCAAGTACCAGTGTTATTGGATCCAAATGAAGACGCCGATGCTTGAGGTAAAAAGGTAGAAGGTGAGAAGGCTGAGCTACGTTGCGCTGCCGGTCTAAACAAAGAACCAACAAAATTACTCTACAAGCTGGCACAAGTTTCAGAAAGGAGAAAGGTTAAAAAGCTCTTTGA